ATAAATAGGAATGATATGGTGGGCATGATTACAATCCCAACATTGCAACAGCTTTCGGCAGGATCCAAAAGCTACAATTAATGGAAGAGTCGTATCACTTGGCTTCTCTTAATTGTGGTACTAACTGCAGGGAACAAATCCGTATACATTCCTCCGCGATATTTTCTTTTTATCGAGCGGTATCAGCTTTTCAGTAATATCTATTTAACCTAACCTTTCAGATGAGGAGTTTATTTAAATAATTAAGGGATTTTTAAAAATTCGTGATTTTATTTGCGATATAACGAAAATCAGCGACTTCCGATTTTTTTTTTAAGAAATGATTCTTATCAACACTGAGTGGTACGAGGGGCTATTCACATGAAAATCAGTGAAAACGATTTCCTTCGTTGAGGATCGATTGTTTTGACTTCATTTGATACCCAATAATGCGATTCGGTTACATGGGACAGTCGGCCTTAAAACAGTGGCAATGTTTGTTGATTTTCAACAATTTCCGGTGATTTTTGCTTGTGAATACCCAGCTGATTTCCACGTGATCTCGAGCGGTAAAATTCTTGGACAAAATCGTTTGATCGGCTGCATTTGATTAATTTCAGGAAAGGTTTTGGTTTAAGAAGCTAAAATCCAAGATTTCCTGAGTGAATACCCCCTCGAAGTGGTAGGTTCCGCGTTTTCCACACCTTCCTGTCTGTACATTTTCTCGTATGCCTTGTCCACGTCTTCTGGTGCTCTTTTTCCTTTCCTTCGGTGAAGACACGTTTCATCGAGCTGGACGGAACCCGCAGCGTCTGATGAGAACGATACCGCCATGCTGCTGATAAACAGGTCGGCTCGATGACGCCGCTTTTTCGCGCCCGGACGGGACGTGCGTCGATGACAGGTCCCTGGACGCGAAGATGATCCTTCTTGTTGGTTTCGGCTTTAATCGAGCACCGATCGTTGCCAAGCAAGGAACCGATCTCGACAGCGACGCTTCCACAGGATGTCCTTGATTAAAGGACCTCACCGCGGCGTCTGACGTCCCTCGATGGCGGGAAAATTAAAGCCCCTCAGAGCGGATCTCGATGATAAGCTGATGGTACTTGTGGCTCCAGATTACCTCTGCCTTGTCGAACGCTGGACCCGCTATGCATGGTCGAATCGGACCTAAGGAAAAGAAATCACCATTACTTCTCGATATTAATTATGACCTCACCATTGTTACGGCTATTTCGACCGACCTCGCAAGCGCAAGAAAATGACGACGCTAATTACTTCGAGCTTAAGTATGTATCGACTTGGGCAAATGTGCCTTCCTAAAACTAAGACTATGACCAAGTGAAATTTTGGTCACCATTAGTTTTTTACAGGAAGAAAAAATATTTCATTGAACCTTAAAAATGTTTCTTCGAATAGTACCGAAGAAATATCTTGCCAATTCGAAGAATAATTATTTGACTCGAATTCATGGAACGCAACGTTTCTTCGATTTATTTGAGTTTATCTGAGGGAAATAATTGTCCCTTGAATCAACAAAATATTTCCTTGCTTCGGTGAATTCTTTTTCTTGGGGTGATGATTCCGAATTTACGTTGACAGTCATTTTTTGACATCCAGATGAATATTTTAAAACGTTGATTACACGCTGCATGAACATTTGTTAGATACGTTTGAAGAGGTATTCGCACTTGAAGTACATAGAAGTAGGCAGTAGATAAATAAAGTGAGAATCTTGAAAAGTTACTGTGTAATGAAATTCAAACAAAATTATTACGAGTACAATAATTTTATTAAATATGCAATTTCGGTTTAAAGTAATTATCCATGACATTGCCAATGAAGAATCATCTCGAGCCGCGAAACGTTTGTACTCTGATCCGTTATTTACCGTAATCATAAATATTTCCCAGCATATTAAGGATTAAAAATCGACTTATTTTATTGTCCGGCTGCCGCTTTAAACTTTGTCTCGTAATAACGGTTGAAAAAAAATCCTTTATTCCAACAAAAATAATGTACTTCGTTCCGCCCTGTTCTTACACTGAGAAAAATAATTTCAATATTTCTTTGAATAGTATCAAAGAAATATTTGTATAATTCAGAGAATAATTATTCGACTGAAATAAACACGAATAAATTGGACGTAACGTTTCTTCGGGACCATGATAATTTATTTGAGTTTCTCCGAGTCAAATAATAATGCTTTGCATAAAAAAAAATATTTCATTGGTACTATTCAAAGGAATATTTCTATGGTTCAGTCGTCCTTTTTCGCTGTCTAGAGAAGTACACAACAATTACGAATATATTTACCGTAGTTCCAGGAAAGTAATACTTTCTTTTTCCGAACATATTAGATTAAGGAATAAGTTTCCGCCGTTTATCGTAACGTAATTAAAACAGCGGGAACTTGTTGTTGAACCCAATGTAAAAAAAAATGTTCCCAAGTAAAAATTTATCCGGTCCACTCTCAACTGTTCCCATTTTCTAAAGCAACTAAAATCTCGCGTTACATCTCTAAATTCCTCTCCACGCAAGTAACAAAGATTCGTTTGTCCAATCCACGAGCCCAGCGCGACAAGGTACCACTCTCTCATATCACTCCTGAAATTAAAATTCCCCTCGGTAGTGAAAATTTATTCCCAGGTGAGACGGTGAAAAAGCTCACTCGTGATCCGGGTGTTCGTTCGCGCTTCTCGGGAGCGCCGTGCGCTTCCACTGGGTGCCGCCAGGCGGCGCAAGTGTTCGCCACCGCCGGCGCTCGTCGGCGTGGCCGATCTCCACATCGCGACCGATAGGTCGTCGGACACGCCGCGACGTGCGGGGGGGTTCGCAGTGTCACGACGGTCAACGAGCTTTAGCACCCCGTTCGTCATTTTGTGTAATTATTATAAAGCAAAACCGTCCGGCTCCCACCCTTCGGGCTGGCGTTCCACCCTCGGAGCGTCTATCCTTCTCTTTGTCACTCTGGATGTCGGGTCGAGCGCCGTACGCGTCCCGAGCACTGGTCGTGTGCGCGCCAGTGTGCACGAACACAAACCCCGCGCACGGACGCTCTGGGCGTCGCTGTGACACTCCGCGCGCGAAGGCCGACCGGAGCGGCCGGGAGTGGGGGTAGGGTGGCGGAGTGGGGTCTCCCACGTGACCGTATATGCGGGCGGAGGGGGAGGGGCGGGGCGCGGCCTCCCCTCCCGGCCGAGCTGCCCCCTCCCCTCCCCACCTCCTCCCCGGCACCCAAGGCGTCCGCGGAGTCCAAAGCGCGTGTCGCGCTTCGAGCGCGAATTTTGGCACGCTTCGCGAAAACTTCTCGACACCCTCCGCCCGCCCCTCCCCGTGGCTCGGGAAATATGGTGCAACTTTTTTACTCGACCTCCTCGACCGGCATTGGGAACCGCTTCCATGCTCGCGGAAAAATTACTACGTGGGCTCTGGCTCGATAGAGGACCGACGGAACTCGAAGCCGTTGCTTATGTCGGGAGATAGAGCGGAGAGATCCGTTTCGGATGAATCAAGATGGGACGACGAAACATTGGGAAAATTATGCACTTAATTGAAGTTACGATGGATTATTAGTCTTTGAAAAGAAGAATAACTATGTAAACTGACAGGGAATTTAATCGTCGCTAATATTCTCATTCTCGGTTACGTTGCCGAAGTAATATAACGAAATGAACACTATTAGTTTATTCTATTCAAGGAAGAATGACCTGAAAGAGGATAATTGTGCGCCTAACCTTTTGGATGTCTCCAGTGATACAGAATTTGTCGTTGATTTGATTCAGGGTTAGGAATTGTGTTTTTAGTGCGTAATGTTACTCCGTAATGTAACAGAGAATGAGAATATCAGCGATGATTAAATTCCCTGTGAGTTTGGGAGAATTCAATTTTTTTAAAGGTTATTCATGTTATTCTCAGTAACTTTTTTTGAAACTATGAATGATCGTTGTGCTGCGCGAATATTTTTATTGTATTTCTGAAGATTTTTGCTTTTTAAACTTTTGATGCCGGAGTTTATAAACTTCTAATAATTGGACAAGCCACAATTCGTCGGCTATCATAACCTCCTGATCTTTTGTGCATCTTGATATTGATAAGAGTGACAAAATAAACTGCAGAAATAAAAGCAAGTAAAGTATCACAAATTAAAGGAACACAATTTAAAATAAGTCCCTCGACATTTTCCGAATATCACGTATTAAAAGTAATAAAATATTAGTAAAAATTAATTTAACCGCAAATCCTCAAAGTTCTCTTCGGTTCCCTTAAATTCTCCCAAGATTTTAAAATTACCGTCCACTTCTCGGTCGTACTACTCGAGCATAATTTCTTAAGAATTTAAACGTACAAGTTACGAGATCCCTATTTTCTCAAATTTAATAGATTACTGTAAGGCTCTTTTCACATTGTTCGCGAGAAGATATTGCAGGCCCATTTTCAAGGGTCCATATTTCCCGCAGTAACTAAAATTTCCAACTACGACCGTGAATTCATTTTCTGTGGGGAGAAACGTCTATTCCCGTCTCCAGTTCCGAGAAAGCCGTATCTCCTCGCTGTCGGCCGTTTCACCCCCGAGGTACGAAAGATCGGCGCCGTTCCATCGGTTTCCCATCGGCGCAGGATGCGGTAGGAGGCGTCTCGGCGTTTCCGCGGGACGACTCGGCGCGTTCGCTGGAGTTTTCCTAATCCCCCCACTCCCTGCCGGGCGGAGGGTGGCGTTAATGGGCGTACTCGCGGTTAACACCCTCGAGTCGTGAATCGGGGTGGGGGTGGTCGTCGGGGTGGGGGAGCCAAGGGTCGGCCGAGGCGTCGCGGGCGTCGCGGCCGGGCGCCGACACGCCAATCGGCGCGGCGTTCCCTCATTATCGCCCAGGCGCGGGAGGAGAAGCGTTCCCCCCACTCTGGTGAGCAGCCGCCTCCCCTCTCGCCGCGGTCCCCCCCCTCCCGGCCGCCGCGGCAGGGGAAGGGAGGAGCTCCAACGGTTTCAGTCGTCGCGCCGCTGCCCTCCAGCATTCACGCCTACCGCGCTCGTTCCGCGCTCCCCGTAGCACTATACCGGGCCGGGACTTTAGCACACCGACACCTCCGCGCGAGGTGTGGGGGTGAGCACCAGAGGAGGTGTCAATCCTGGCGCTGCTCAGTGACCATCGCGGCGCCACCCAAGTAACACCTTAACCTCCGGCAACCCGGACGAGAGCCCCCGAGCGCCACGCGTCCCCGCGACCTCGTAGCCGACGCGTTAGGTGGGTGCCGGTCGACCCGGTCGTCGCGACGGCGCCAGGCGCCATGCCGGTTCGCGAGTGCCGCGCGCGGGACCTCTCCTACGTGGGCCCGCGGTCGCCCTAGACTCGGCCTAGGGGTGCAGACCTAGACGGTGGTCGTCACCGCCGTCGGTGGCGGAATTTTCGCGAGGATACTCTTTAGCCCTCGCGGGGCGCCGACCCCTGCGATGAGCCGACTCCCGGCCTGAGGCCCGTCGACGGCCCGGGTGAGGCGTCGAGGATGTCGACGCCGGATGTCGGTTCGGAGGTACGGGCCTGGACAGAGACTCCGCTCCCCCGGACCGACCCTCGCGGCACCTCCAGCCGCGGATCGGCCGTGGAGCATCGAGGGAGCTAGGACCTGGGCAGACCTGGCGGTTCCTGGGAGATAGACGGATCGGGATGTCAGCGGAGGGGGTCGTTCCCCGGTGGAGATAAACCTTGGAAGCGATATCCGGTGACTGGGTCGCGAGTGCCAGGCGGGACCGACCGTGCGCCCCGCGTGGCCGGGAACTACCGGGTTCCCCCGGAGGAGGAGGCGGGAAAGGGAATCGGTCGGACGGCCAGGGCCCGAGCCTCGAGAGGCCGACTCGCATCGGCGGCTCGCGCTCGGCCGGGCAACCCCCTTTAATCTCGATGAGATACGAACAAGACTCCGCGTGCAGGGGTACCCACTGCGCCAGCACTCCGCTACCGGCCGCCGCACTGCAGCGCCCACGCGACCCGCGAGACCGCGAGCCGGACCCGCAGCCGCAGAGCCCCAGGAGGCGGGAGTCCGGCCTCGCCTCGGGCCAGCACCAGCGGCGCCGCGCCCCCGACTCGGAGAGACCCCCTGCCGACCTCAGGGAGGAGGGCGCGAAGACGGGGCTCAGGGCCGAGGTGGCGGCGGCGGCGGCGGCGGGGCCTGGGATGGCGTACCCCGCTCCCAAGGCGGCGGCGACGGCGACCCTCGCGCAACATTCGCCCTTCTCGGGGGCCAACCCCGCGGGACCCGGTGGACCCGGTGGGCCCGTTCACCTGGCCGGTCACCTGCCCGCCCCCGCCGCCCCCCGGCCCACGGACTTCAGCGTCTCGTCGCTCCTCACCGCCGTCGGCGGGGCCACCCATCCGCCCGTTCTCGGCTGCTCGTCCTCCCAGGGTAGCGCCTCGCCGCCCCCTGGGGGTCCCGGGAGTCCTGCCGCCGCCCCCGAGACGCCCCCGCCGTCTCTCGCCGGGCAGCGGGAGTTCGCCCAGCATCAGTCCTCCGCCGTCGCCAGCTATTTCGGCGCCGCCGCCCTCGCTGCTGCTGGATTCTACGGGCCCGCTGCCCATCTGCCCCCTGCCAGCTCACCTGGACCCACCCATCATCTGCAGGGAAAAGGCATCCTAGCTGGACCGCATCATCATCCCCATCTCAACCCCCACGGCCTCACGCCTCCCGGTACGTAGCGAAGCTGCCCGACGCGGCCCGACGGCTCCGCGCCGAGCCTCTGCTACTCGCCCCCTTCGAGAACCAGTGCACGGATTTGCGGGGAACCGTCCTTATCCGGTGGTTTTTACTCCTAGGGACGTGGTAGGCCGCTTGGAACGGCTCTTCGGATGGGTTGTCTCTATCGCCGAGGGGCTCGGGTCTGCGATTTTTACTTGCTCGGGAGGACCGCGGGTCAGGGTGACGGGTTTTCGGATGCGGGCGCGAGGTTTGAACCTTGAATCGGTGGTTGAAGGGACTTTTTCATGGGTGAAGTTGATCTTGGGGACATGGTCCGTTTCGCAGGCTTTGAGGAGTCGATCGTGGGGTTGCTTCGGTTAATCGAGGGAATTACGAATGATCTGTATGTTGGTCACTTGGGGAGTCGTCTCGTTCTAGGAGAGGAATCGTTTCCTCTTCAAAGGGAAGGCTTTACAGGGAGTTGGGAGGTTACTTAGCTTTGCGTCATTATTTCATGTTTTGAGGGAATTTTTTCTATACGCTACGTTGACCTATCACAGTTTTAGGGCCGTTTGAGAATTCGCGGGTAAAAACTGGAGGGTAACTGGTCAAGAGTTTGTACGATCTTCAGATTATCAATGTTATCTCGTGATCGCTATAAATGCGATTTATTTTGTCGGGGGTTTTGACCAGTCGCTGGAATCTGGAGCACGAATCACGAGCGATTTGTCAAGTGCAGATGGATGGCCGCGGAAATCAGGATGATTACCGGAAATACTCATCTTCACATCGTTGTGTCATGTTTGGGTACTTATTTTCACGTGGAATTCAAACGCTACGATTTTTATTTTTTTTTTTTTACGCCCTTAAGGTCGTTACAAAAATCGCGAATTGAAAATGTACGGAAACTGGCGAAAGACCAGCGTCATCTTCTGATCATCGTCATATGTTTATGATCCGCCCTACAAACGCGAGACCTTTCGGGGATTTTGATTAGTCACAAGAATCTGGAGTACGAATTACGAGCGACTTGTCAAATGGGAGATAAATGGCCTCACAAATTAGGGTAATTTGCGAGACTGACCATCTTCCCTTCATCGTGTCGTACCGTATCATATTTGAGCACTTATTTCCATGTGAAATCCAAACGCTGCATTTATCTTTTAGATTCTTAAGGTCGTTACAGAAATCGCGAGTTAAATGTGTAGGGAAACTGGCAAAGGACTCCCGTCATCTTCAAGTTATCATCTTACCACTTGTGATCACTGAAATCGCGACACCTTTTTCGGAGGTTTCGAATAGTCGCAGGAGTTGGGAGAACAAATTGGAACCGATATGTAGAATTTAAGCACGCAAGATGTCCGGACTTTGGGATAGGTTAGGGCTCGCGGACCCCAGCAGCGTTTCATGGATAAACCCACGACGTTGGCAGTCTCTTCTGTACGCCGGGCGAATTTTTTCTTCTTCTTTTTTTTTATCTTTACTTTTACGGTTTTCTTTGCAGGACGTCTGTTACGTACGTCCACCTCGAAGTCATCCGGGCTCTCGGCCAAGAGACCGCGGGCAGCACGACGGTGATTAATCTTGCCAAGGGCAAGAGACCCGACGTGTCTCGCATGCGGAATTTATCGCGGATCTACGATTCTCGGCTATCGTCTCTAGAGAGATCCGAAGTAAGAGTTCCGCGTTTTCGAGTCGTGCTTTAGAAAGGAAAATTCGAACACTCTGCCGCGAGACGCGGTTAAGAGGAAAGTTTGAACGACGTGAAGTTTCGGCGCGAGTCGTGCGTTTAAAAAAAAAAATTCGAACGTGAAGTTCCATTGCGAGGCAAGCATTGAAAGACGTGATGGTTCGTTACTAGTCGTGCGATTAAAAGAAAAATTTGAACTTGAAGTTCGGCTGCCAGGCGAGATAGAAAGAAAAATTCGAACGATCCAAAGTATCGATGCGAGTCGTGCGTTCGAAAAAAAAATTGAATATGAAGGTCCATTGCGAGGCATTTGTACGATGTGATGTTTGATTACGAGTCGTGCGTTAGAAAGAAAAAAATGGAACATGAAGTTCGGCTGCGAGGGAAAGTAGAAGAAAGAATTTGAACGACGCGAAGTTTCGGTGCGAGTCGTGCGTTTGAAATGAAAATTCGAACGTGAAGTTCCATTGCGAGGCATTTGTACGGCGTGATGTTTTGTTACGAGTCGTGCGTTTGAAAGAGAAAAATGGAACATAAGGGAAAGTAGAGGGAAAAATTTGAACGATGCGAAGTTTCGGTGCGAGTCGTGCGTTTGAAAAAAAAAAAAATTCGAACATGAAGTTCCATTGCGAGGCAAGCATTGAACGACGTGATGGTTTGTTAGCAGTCGTGCGTTTGACAGAAAAATTTCAATTTGAAGTTCGGCTGCCAGACAAGGTAGAGAGAAAAATTTGAACGACGCGAAGTTTTGGTGCGAGTCGTGCGTTTGAAATAAAACTCTAATATGAAGTTCCGCTGTGAGGCAAGGATTTGAATGACGTGATGTTTCGTTGCGAGTGGTGCGATTGAAAGCAAAATTTCAACACCCTGAAATTCTGCCGTGAGCTGTGCGTTAGAAATAATTCAAATGATCTGAAGTTTGGATCGTGAATTAGAAAAAGAAATTTGAACGACATGAAGTTACGCCAGGAATCGTGTGTTAGGAAGAAAAATTCGAATATGAAGTTTCTCGGCTAGTCATGAGTTAGAACATAAAATTCGAAAGTTTCGCCGTGAGTTGTGCGTTAAAAAGAAAAAAAAAATCGACGGACTGGAAGTTCCGCCGCGAGCCGTCGTCGACCGCTCTGATAATGGCGCGATAAGAGCCGCGTTTCGTCGTTAACAATCGACTCGCGAAAAACCATATTGAAGTTCGTCGCTTAAGAACCGCATTCGTCGCAAAATTGTTCATTCCCCCCCCCCCCCCCCCCCCCTGAAAACGAGGCTCTGATTATATGGAGTGCTAGTCGAATATTTCAGAGCGACTATGGCAGCTATTTTGTAAAATTTGATCGCGCCTCTGATTATCGAAATTCATCGGAAATTTGAATTTTATGCATTCCTTCTCTTTTTTGTGTCAAATTAGTAGCCTAAGGGACGGTACACTGTTAAAAGAAACTAAATTTATAATTCACTCATGGACGGATTTAATCTACACGTCTTCTAATTCTGCAAACTTGATTTAAAAAAAAAAAAATGTTCGATACAATTAATCGTAAAACTCAATTATACATGTGAAAACATTGCGTAGTGATTTAAATCGTCCGCTCAATTTTTCAATTTTAATGCAGCTTCGTGGACTTAATATAATATGAAAGGGTCATTCTATATATACAAAACGTCAAAATATTTATATAACTTTCCTTCAAACTGGGTGCACCGAGTAATCAAAAACTTTAACACGTGATTATGGCGATCCTAATGAAGGTCTTGAAACGCAGGAAATTTCATTTTTTCGACAATGAATTTTTTGTTTAGTTCGTGTTCAGGATAAATAACAAAATTCTTGAGTATCAAGACCTTCATTAGAACCTCTATAATCACGTGTAAAAGTTTCAAATTATTCGGTGCATCCAGTTTGGAGAAAAGTTTTATAAATATTTTGACATTTTGATACAGACGTGATACTTTCATAACACCTTAAATTTTGCGGAATTTTCCTCATGCGGAATTTCCAGTTTTAACGATCTAGCTTTAAAAATGCAGTTTTACATATCGGGGGGAAATCCGTCTTCCGATTCCGGCAAAGTAGAGCAATTTGGCTCGAGATGGAAACCGTAGAAATTTTTCCATGGTCAGCCTCGCCATTGTACGTTCGCGCAGCCAGAAGTAGAATTGTTTCGATCTCATTTCCATTTGTTCCAAACGAACATTCGACGTCGCCGAGGGAACTCCGCCAGGGGAATTACTCCATTCTTCAGGTTCGTTCTCACGGTGTAACGGAGCAAGACCGTTTTATTACGTAAAAAATGGTAATACCTTCGCTACCGGCGTCCGAATAAGTCCCGTACGTGTCCCAGGTAGCCGCCGAATGCTACGTGGCATAGCAAATGACGCCATTCGTCGCTTTTTATTCCCACAATGGGACATACTTAAATGCCTTTATTACATAAAGATGCTAATTTTTACAGTCCCGTTTCGAATCGGTCTTCTCCTCTCTCTTTTTTTGCCTTCACCACCGACAAGCTACTTGAAAAATATCCACAACCTCAATTTTAAGATCCAAATTTCAGATGTCTCAAAAAAGAAAAAAAAAACCCCTTCTCGACCTCCTGCTCTACAAAAACTGTCCATTAAATTTTCCGCAATTTAAGGTGGGGTGAAAGCGGCGTCAATGTCTCGTTTTTGAAACTTTTCTCCGAGCTGGATGCATCGAATCGTTTCAAATTTTACAATGAGAATGTGGAAGCCCCAAGGAAGGTTTTTACACCTAGGAAATTTCAGTTTTTTTAATTTGTTTATAGGGGTTTTAACATCTTTTTTTAATACAAAATGAAATTTTACGGGCGTCGGGATCTTCCTTATAGTCTCCATATTCATGTCGTAAAGTTTGAAACGATTCGGTATGCCCAATCCGGAGAATACTTTCACGAACGATTTGAACTTTCGGATATGTACAGGTTTTACATTTCATATCACCTTACGTATTATACATAAAATCCAAGTAAAGTACCGTATAAATTGCACGTTAAAATTACGTCAAAATTACGTACATTACGTAGAAAAACCTCGAATGACCCGTCGCTGCACAACCCTGATTCTTTTTTGCATGCGAATAGATACGCATGAAAAATTTCGCTTTGTTGCGATGTCACGTAATTGGTCAGCGTTTGAAATCCGTATACGAAATTGTCAATTTGGCGTGTGAAAGTCGATCGAATAAAAATCGAGAATAGAGTCCCTCGACGAGTCCGTTTTTGTCTGTCTCTTCCTCCGCCCGTAAGTTACTCGCAAAGGTGAAACGAAAGGGTGATTCTAAATATATAAAACGTAAAAATATTCA